CCCAAACCCAAAAATTTAAGATTTAAGCCCCAAAAATCCCCAAAATTTTTTTTAAAATTAAAAAAAAACCCCCACAGACATAATTCATTACAATAAAACATACACTGTAAATCAGCACCGCTGCCTTGTTAGAGATATAATGTATTGAATGCTTATATTGTAATAGGTCAAGTTACCATAAAGTGCCCTTCAAGAACCGCACCAATATATATATTACACCCGTATGAGGGAACTTCATACTAATGTCCCCATACATGTAATGAGATATTTAGTTATTTACTATAATAAACGAAACACAGGTAGTTATAGGCATGGAAAATAGTCGAAGAGAGGGGTTATATATGGAAGTTCCAGATTAATGGGTTAAAAAATAAATCATTATTTGGTATTTTCATTAATAGGAGTGCTGGAAAACAAGGGATTATAAATATCGTCAGGAAGAAACAATGGTGTATTAGCTGGAATCTTACATGATTTAATTATCTTAAACAAACAGCATTGGGCTACCTAATATCCATATACATGGCCTCTCTTGTACAGTATGCTGATTCAACTCTGAAAATTCGATCAACATGTTAACAAAAACAGTCATATAAATGTAGGGTACTTTGATATTATGTCAGGAGCAAAAACTGTAAATAAGATTTATATTATATATATAACATAAGTACATTATCATTCCAATGTTTCAATATCTATATGTTAAAGAATCCAATCTGCAATTTAATGGAAAAATCTACTTTTATGATTGACAGTAAGTTCTATTAAGGGGTTTCTAAAATGTTGAACATGGTTAAACCTTACTTCAGTTACTAATGACCTAAGAAGGAGCATGGTGAAGCAGAGGTATTATGCCCCATACATCCATGAATATTACATGTACATGTATACCTACAGAACGGCCCCATTGCAATCATAGACAATTGAGAGCCCTGTACATCCTGTGCTAGGCTAGGGTGACAAAGGTAACTAAGGGTTTTCCTGGCAATTTTTCTAATTAAGCTTGAAATATTCATTAAGATCTAAGGTAACTTGGGATAAAGGACTTAAAACAATCAAACCAATTACATACCTGTGTTTTTTAAAGCTTAAAGCCAAAACAATGTAGATTTTGAAGAGCTTCAAACTTGATAATTATATATTTCCATATATTAAGCAAAATTTCTTCTCGCAACTTTTAATTCTTAACCTTGAGATTGTATTCATTTTTTAATATTTAATAGATTAAATCATACAGGAACAGACTTTAATCATTTATACAAAAATTCTTTTGAAGTGTACAAGATTTTTTAATTAGACTTCCACAAAACAAAATCCCCTTCCCATTTTCCTCTCACCTTTCGACTGTCCCTGATGCCCCTGCCTTGCGAACTTTCTCGGCCTTTTCCAGTTTCTTGTCGGTGTAACTGACTGGTTGGTGGAGCGCCACTGGTTGTGGCACTGGTCCGAATGGGTCAGAGGATTTGGTGGTGGTGCTTTTGGCATCCTCTAGAGCCAGCGTCCTCTGGCGTCGCTTGGCGTAGTCCTGGAGATCGTCGCCGTCGTCCCAGTCGTCAGAACTACTACTACTGCTCTCATTGCCAGGGGAACCTACATGTATATATATATATATATGCATGAAATTTTGAACAAGCAAATTTCAAAAAAGAAAAATTACAATTAAGAAACAAATATAGTTTCTTGTTTGTTATTAAATGTTATAGACTTAATGTAAAAGTTCTATATTTGCACATATAGAGCAATAGTACAGTAGAGGATACAATTCATGATGCATATAATTCTGAGGAGACAGCCAATATAGCTAATAATCCTTTGTCATATGACATTACCATTCAGGAGTTGTCCTGATGACTTGGCTTGGAGCATTTCCCTGAGAAACTTTAAGATTTCAGCTGTGCCTTTTTCCATGATGTCTTTTGGGGGGAATTCAATAGGATTATTGCTGATATTCAGACCATTTAAACTTTTTATTAAACCTATAAAAAACATAAAAATAGATTCATCAAATAAAATTTTGAAAACATTTTAACATATGTCATTTAATCATCTTTCAATTAAAACTAATCGTCAAAAGGTATCATTTTGCCAAACAAAAGAGTAATGCTGCAATTATAGTAAAAATGCTATTAATATTAACTATCAATTATGAATTATCATCTGAAAAATCAACAGTTACAGTGTAATTTAAGCACCTAATTCAAGTGGAAGACTCCGAAGTTTGTTTCCCTCCAAGAGAAGTGTCCGAAGGTGATTATGTCGGCCAGTGTACACGCTCGGTAGTCGTAAAAGTTTGTTCTTCCTGAGGTCAAGCCAGATAAGCCTGGGCAAGCAGTCGAAGAAATCATCAGGAAGACCGGTCAGTTCATTTCCCTCCAAGTACAGGTACTGAAATGTACAAGAAGTGTACGTTACTAGCCATTTTTTCTAGCCAAGACTTTCAGATATGTGCACCAATTACTCAAATATTTAAACAAATAATTGTCTACAGATAATTTCTGTTATTTAAATCATTAGGAGAGAGGAATGCAATATAGTTTGGGCCATGGATATTATTGGCCTGTATAGCCCAGTTAGTAGAGCACCTGACTAGTGATGCAGGGGTCCTGGGTTTGATTCCCAGTCCAGCCAAACATTTTTGAACACTAAATGACTAATTTTAAATACTTATTACATTGATTAAAAAAACACAATTTACTAGGTTATAAAAATCAATAAGGGGAAATCCCAATAAGGAACAGCTTTATAGATGATGTATAATTAAGCTAAATGATCTATAGCACTATATTTTAGTGACCACAAACAAAACACATGTTGAGAAAAACATTAACAACCTGCATGTATCAGTGCTTCGCTCGTGACTTTCATATCAAGAAAATGTCAACAAATCAAAACCTGTACATGTTCAAGCAGGAACCTGAGAAATCAATTTACCTCAAGGTTATTCAGTTCTAACAGTTCTCGTGGAATTTGTAACAGTCCTTTATTACATAGTTCTAATGTATTAGAGCCGAGTGCTTTTGTCTGTTTTATAATTTTCAAAATTAAATCCTCTTCTTTCTTAGTTTTGGCTACACCTCTTTCAGTCGGGGAATCTAAACCCGGCGAATACAACTCTAACCGATCGATTTCACTCTCACACGAGCCATCATTTCCTTCCAGATCCAATTTATCTACATCTGGAAGTTCGTCAAGGGTTTCCATGTCTGCCTGCATATTGTCTGTAATTTTCATGACCTCAAAATAAACCAAAACACACAGGAAAGCCGCTTCCGTAAGTTGTTGTCGACATTCCACATGGCAAACCAAAACAAATATGGCGGCCAATACAATCCAATCACTATGGAGATTCTGGTCACGTGCAATCTTCCGCTCATCAATCGAAGTGCGACGGAGCATGACAGAATACACAACGATGCTTCTATTTACATTTTGCCGTGCAGGAAAAGGCGATGGAAAGAGATGACATGATTAGATCGTTCTGATACTTCCTTGCCGAAACACAGTGAGTATTATTTTTTTTAAAAAGATGCACATTTCACTAATGGCTGTTTTCTAATTTCTGAAGTGAACACGGTTTATGACAAGAGAAATCATCTGGAATAGGTTGTGCTCCCTGAACGTTTATATTGATTTCGAAAGTGTCTGTAATGATAGTGATGGTACATTTATTGCAAAATCAATTTTTATTGTACCCTTATTGTTTCATTATCCGGACTTCGGGAACTGGCCATAATAAAGAAATCTCGTAAGCATGGTAAGTTACAGCAGACCTGATCTATATAGAGAATATGCCTTACATGGAGCTAATTTCATTTTATAGATGAGATAAATGTATGTAGATTTTGAATACAACAGATTTAAAATGAATTTGAAAAATCAAATACTTTCAGTTTTCTCACAATGTGTTGCTAAATACTGCTTAATTAAAGATTTTATTTTATTTTAAAAAGCTCATGTATGATGGCCTATATATATTGTTTTGTGTGCATGTGCATGTAAAAAAAAAAAAAAAAAAAAAAGAAGAATAACTAGATAATTTTAATAATTTGAATATGAAAAAAGAAATATAATTTGTTATTTCCATATGTTTCACTCAAGCTGCAGAACTCACAGTATAGAGCTCTCTCTGGTTGATGAAATTCAAACTGACAAACCAAAGGGCCAAGTAGCAAGATAGGTGTAAACACTTTGTTAATTATGGATACCATGTTTTTGGTAAAGAAACACAAGCAATTCAAAAAACAATACTTGAAGAGTGCAACTAAAAGTGTCCGATAATTCAAAAGTTTTTAACATTAATGCACATATCTCTCTTGTTAAATGTCTCTCAAATATCGATCGTCTTGAAACCAGAGAGGTTCTGCAGCTATATATATAAGCTTTATGTCCATTCAAAGGACACAAGGGTATGAAACAGGATAACCTTTTGATTAATATTATAAACAGGATTTTTCATTAAAATTGCTAAATCTCATTTTCTGTGACCATGTACCTGAAAAAATCAAAATGACCGAGGATCTGATCGAGGTATTGAATATTAAATAAATTAATTAATAAATCACATGCGAATGGCAATGGTTAGAATGACCATTTCTCTTAAAAATTTCAACAGATAAATTTCAACATATTCAATGTTATTTGAGTTATCCAGGACTGTACAGGTTAACTAAGTTCAAGGATATACAGTATATTTTTGAAGCTTGTTAATTGATAATTTGACTGTATAGAGACCATCAAAGCTTTAAATTGTATATGAGGCAGGAGCTCTTTTATGTCACCAAAGAAGGGAACTCAGACTCTCCCCTAAGGAAGGGAAGTTAAATAAGTAGTCTCATTTCAAATTGAATTGAATTAGAGGGTATTTCTTAGAGAAAATTGAAAAACGTTGTGTCGGATAATTGCCATATGTTTTTTGTGGCAGTTTGAGGGATGATTCTGCCTGAAGACTTCTGGTATAAGTATATTGATTTTTTTCGGAAGATATGCTATCTTAATTCTGCCTTTCGGAGAGTGAGACACTATCAATTTAAAAACCTTTATAATTTATATGTACATATTCTGAACAGATCGATTCATATGGAATTTATTGTTTTCAAAGACATTTCATTTTTGAATTTTCAATTTTAAATTTATTGATAATTCTCAGATTTTACAATTTTCAATTTTCTTAATTCATTCTCAGGTTCATGGATATTTAAGTCAAGGATGGCTTCTATTTTCAAAAATTGTATTGAAACTATATGTACAGTATTTAAAATTTATAAAACAAAATTTATACAGATCGATCATCTGAATTTTAACTGAGTTTTACAGTACTGTACATGTATCCTCTACCACTATTATTTAAAACTAAAAGGATAAGTGATTTGTGTAAGTTTGCCAAGAAAACAAAGGATTGTAAATTAAAAGTTGGGGGGGGGGTTTGTTTGACAAAGATCTGCAGTAACTCTGAGTCTCTGACATCATCCTCATGCACAACTTTCTAGAGAACAGCCAGGACACTGGTTCAATGTCCCGGTTTCTGAGCTTATGGAGAAGATAATGTATTATATATAAATTATATATGTCATCTATATTTGCACAACCAGATACATAAGTCATACATCCCTTTTTGTGCATAGACACATAGACCCTTTTTGCCTAGGAGTTATTCCCCTTAGCCGCCATATTGTAGGGCAACATTCCCCGGCCGTTTCCTTCATTATTCAACCAAGTTCAATTTGTTATACTGGTTACTGAGGTAAAGATAACACTATTTTTCTTATGAATATACGTTTGTTAAAGCCTCTATTAATTCATAATTTTAAGATTGTAAATATTTTCCCCCATATATTTCTTGCATGCATTGCATTGAAATGCATGTTTAAAATTGGTTTGCTCAAAGAGGTAAATTCACTACTTTGACCTACAAGATGGCGGCTAAGGGGAATAACTCCTAGGCAAAACATGTCATAGGAAAAGGGTCTATATCTCCTTTTTTCAATCACATATTAGGCAAATGGATGAGTATAGGTGATATAATAAATCAATGCCATGATAAAAATGATGAGAAATTGTTTGTTTATAATGACCACCTATATAATGATTTGATGAAAGAGCACATTTTTTAAGATGAAAATATATACGTGCAAATACAGTTTTTTTTTAAACCACATACATGTCTAAAAAAATTTCTTTTAAAAA